GTTCAAAAAGATTTTAATTGTTACCCCAGACCGTTTTCGACTATGTCCCGTCTAACTAGAATATCAAAATCGTAAAAAAAAAATTTTCCCTAAAGTGGTAGAAACCCGGCGGATTCACCCAATTACAACATAGATGGATTAAATTCATTACTAAGCAAGCTTTCTAATCTAAATAATATTAATAGGTGCAACAATAGATTCGAATGATGAAGCTATTAGTCTATTTCGTCCTGATGAACTACATTTTCCGTGGGTTGCTCAAAAACTCGAGTCTAATACGTTACGCATAATAGTTTGGCCAGATGAGCGTCTTCCTAAAAGCGTTTATAATTTTTTAACGATGCTTGGCGTGCGTGAAGCTCCGACACTTGACAATCTCATTGATTTGATTGCAGAAGATTTTGAAAGTCAAAAATGTGAACATGATGCAGCATCATATATTGTGCCACTGTCACTTCGATTCTTGGCAAAAAATGTTGAACATCATTATTCAGAACTTTGGAAAGATAATACGTATCGACGCGCTTTTCTTCCAGCTCAATGGCCACCTAATCCAATTACGAATTCATATGATAATAATCCTTGCAATAGCATAGAATTACTGCCTGTGGAAAGGATATTTAACAGTTTGAAATATTTAAAAGTTTTTTTTTTAACATTTATGACTTTTCTTATCGTTATTAGATCCCAATTCATTATGTGCTTGTCCTTTACCAAAGGTGAAAATGCTGTTTAGCAAATTCTTGGATCTTTCTATGTTATATGTTCAAGAAAAACCATCATTGAAAGATGCATTTGAAATTCTAATGGAGAGAAAAGATATTGTTCTTACCTCCTATGAATGGACTTGTTCTGTTTTTGGATATATGAATAGTTTGACTGGTACAATAAATGAATTAGCAGAACTACTTTCAGTATTAGAATTTATTCCATTTCAAGGTTGTATAATTTGTTATAATTGATCCTTATTTAAATAGTACTTATAGGTACCAATGAATTGAAGAAAATATCTGAAGTTTTCATTCAGGACAGGACACTTTTGAGTTCACGACTGCAAACCGAAAATCTTAAGAAGACCGATACGAGTGGCTTAATTGACTATGTAGACTTTGGGCCAGACGCGAATATGTTTCTCATGAACATGGGTGCCAAAAGTGAACCAGATGTTTCAATGTTAGCTGAATTGCTACTAAATCGTCAGAGTAATTTCTTTCAAAATCCGAAACGATCAACGGAAGATAAAATACAAACATATCTTGAATGTCTTCAACGTCTAGCATATTCTTTTGAGATTGCTGACTATATTAAAGATAAGAATTTGATTAAACGACTTGAGAGTGAACCATGGTGTCTTGGATACATTTACAATGATGATGAGAAAATGACCAAACAAAATTATCAGATTTCAATACCAAATCATGTCTATTTGATAGATGATTGCAACATCGCATCCTATTTTCGGCCGGTACGTCCTCCGAGCCAAATAGTATTAAAAAATCTATATAAACAATTTGGTTCCAAATGGCTACGAGATTGTGTTGAAATAAAATATATATTTCAAGGTAGTTGTTTTTTTACATCGAATTTGTTAGTCATATAGTATAATACATTCTCGGACCATATAAGCAACGAATGTTTTTCATAAATCACTAGTCGAGTCGATGGAATTCCGTTCGTTGTAAATAATCATAATGAAAATCTGGTTAACAGTTATCTTTATACTTTTCTGATATCTTACTACATTTTTCGATGGGAATCAGTTGTTTGTCCAAATATCTCTTTTGATATATTGTTTGAATCAAGAAATACATAGGTCAACAACGTCTTACTGATCAATCAAAGAACTTATGTAAATTGATTTTGGATCGACTTGACTTGCTCATTGTTGATAAATGCGTAAAGCAAATTTATTCATATTTATCAATGCATTACCGAATTATTTCATTTAGGGTGAAAGCACAATGAAAGTAAAGCGAAACTCATTGGAATTATTACGTAGTTGTTTGACTGTTTACGAAGTCAACAGTATTGATAGTCGACTAACTTTCCAAACCAAATTGTTTTCGGTAGTTTATATTGACTTACATGATTTTCTTTTGTCTATTTTTTCGTTTTTAGAAAACTAATATGACAACATGTTCGCTGCAATACTCCGATCATGGAGTTATCTTGTACATAACAAATAAAACGCGAATGGACTATATGGATGTTGCGACGGCTCTAGGTAACTTTTTAACCGAGGAGGTGACCGAAGATATGATCTCAGGAATCAAAATGAAACTTGAGAGTTCTTTGGAAGCACTTCAACACTACGGTTATCCTATTGATAGACTGTGTACGCATTTACAAAATCCAACCAGTGGTAAATAGTTATTTCCTTTTTTTTCAAAGAAACGCTATTAAACAAAAAGAACTGTTTTTCTCTAGTTCCAGTGGGAGCGGAAATTCTATCAACAACGGTCCTTGAACCACAGCCAACTAATCTAGATATTAATAGTCAACAGCAAAGCTATAAGACCGATCCCCCACTTGGAAGAGGAACATCACATAATAAAGCCACTGTTTCAAACTTTAGTCATATTGCACCAACTTCTAGTACAACATATCCTAGTCCAAGTGATGAATATGATGAAGTTATTACACCGGAAATTATTCAAGAGAGCGTCTTTAAAATGCTTAGTCCTTATAATGATCAAAAGTTTTTAACAGTTAGTCCAAAAATCGAGATAAAAAGAACAGCGAACGGTCCATGTCAAGCACCAGCAAATATTGAGCTGGAAAATTATAAAGATCTTTTTTATGATATTCCGTTTTATACAGAACGAAACATGAAGATGACTGGAAATATTCTCAATCGAGCTAGACAATTAGCTCTGCTAGTCGCTGGTATTGCTACAGAAATTTTTAAGCAACCAGCAGTTATGATGAAAATTTATCGAGATGCTGACGGGAATGATCCACGTAAGATATCATATTTTGCTAATATCACAATACTTGATATTAATTTATTTTAGCTCGAGTTGCATTTCGTCATAATGGGTCACTACTTTTTAATGTGCGCTATTTCGAACATGTATTTGCTGGGAAAATTGATGCCGACTACGACGATACGGGTGCGCGTCATTCAAATATGAATCATATTTTGAATTTTTATTTTATGAATTCATGCCATTTACTTGTGCACAACGTACATACAGAACATAATATCAAATTTATTCGGACACTTGGAGTAACTTTAATCAAGTTTTTACCAGATAAAGACAAGTTTTTTGATCTTTTTAAGTTTTCGTAGAATTTTTAATTTGGATTGAGATTAGTGTAATGATGAAATAGTGCTTTTCTGTGATATCAACTGTCTTATTTCAATAGCATCCCTTCCTTTTCATAGTTCCATTGGTTTGTTTGACGAATCGGTAAACCGAGGATAGACGAGAGAGAGAGAGAGCGAGAAGAATACATAAAAATAATTATCAATGTATGTACATGGAAGTTATTGTCTATTAATTAATCAATTGTGACAAGCTGAGAGTTAATATCAGCACACTCGGTCACTGCAGCGAGACACACTAAGAGGGTATGAGGAAGTCGCCATGATCTAGATCTCGTTCTTGCTCAAAGGACTTATTCAGATGGCTTATCTATTTGAGATTCAATTTATAATAGAATCCAAATAATATCTAATTTCAAAGGTTTGGCAAAGTTCCTTATTTTGCGTTTTTATACAGCACATTGTGTTTGGTTCAGTTTGGAACTCGTTCGATTTTGTCAGGTTTGATGATTTGTGTTGATTCTCATTTTCTTCGGTTTTTATGTTGTTTGGATCGTTCTAGTGATAGTGCGAGAGAAAAATATTGGAATTATGATATGAGTGTCTTCAAGTATTTTGTGATATAAAAGATGTTTCGTAATAACTGATGATTATGTATTATTCATATTTTGCGTACTTCTCGTGAACCTAGAGGGCTGCAATTTTTATTGCACATATATCTAATCATTTGACATTATTTTATTCTCTTCTTTTATTTTAAATTTAATTTTAAATTTAAAGTTTAAATTTAATTCAATTCAATTTAGTTTGATTTAATATTGAAAAAATTTTATTTATTTAAATTTA